GTAAGGGGGCCAGGGTGAAATCAGGGTAATGTCATGAAAACGTATGCTCCTACGCAGCTCCCAGAACACTGAGCCCGTCATCCCTCCTCCTGCTGGGAGATAAGAGGATGCTTTCTAGTAAATGTGGCAAGCCAGAAAGAGCAGTCTTGCTGACAGAATGGCCCCAGCAGGATCACTCTACAGGGGAGCTCAGAGTTACCAAGCCCCTCTGATGTTCTGCTAAGTCCCTCCCAAAATAAACAGGAGCAAGAAGCAACAGGGGAAGAGGAAGCTACTTGGGGTGAACAGAAGCTGTGCATAAAGAAGACATTTAAAAAATATGAGCTGGGTGCGGTGGTTCACGCCTGTAATCCCAGCACTTTGGGAGGCCGAGGCAGGCAGATCGCCTGAGGTCAGGAGTTCAAGACCAGCCTTATAATAACCTAACTTGCATTAGCTTAACTGACTCCATCTTAGCTGCAAACCTGACAAGCTCTCTCTGGTCTCTCCCTCCCTGCTGAGGCCCCTCAGGTTCACAACTGGGTCATGCTGTACTCAGAGCCGTGAAGCACTGAGATTTGAAGCAAGCTGTTCTTAGCACCTGTAACCATTGTAAACAAATCCTGTGTGTCAAGCCCACCTGCCATTGTGAAAAACTCCCCTTTGATTATTGTGGAGAAAGTACCTGGACACTCCCTTAGTGATTGTATGGAAAGTTCCCACTGCTACCCCCCTTAATGCTTCCTACTAACTTGCTCTTTCTGCTTCTGTAAAATTCTACTTCAGCTAGGCTCCCCCTCCCCTACCTAAATCAAGATATAAAGGGAAATTAAACCCCTTCCTCGGAGAGAATTTTGAGTGTTAGCCATCTCTCGGTCACTGGCAAATAAAGGACTCTTAATTTGGAACCCAGAGGGTGACACTTTCCTTCTGACTTGCTTGGTTACAACAGCCTGGCCAACATGGAAAAATCCCGTCTCTACTAAAAATACAAAATTAGCCAGGCATGGTGACACATGATTGTAATCCCAGCTATTCAGAGGCTGAGGCAGGAGAATCACTTGAACCTGTGAGGTGGAGGTTGTGTTGTACTGGCCCGAGCAGAGAAAGTCAACACCAAGACAAAAGTATGCCAAATTACAGGGTCTTCATTGCCAACGGCCACGAGGACTCGCATCTCTCCAACCCGTGGCCCCGAAAGGAGGGTGTCAAGACCTTTCGTACCCATAAAACCACCTCGGGAGTGAGGGTGAGGGGCGGGGGTGGGGTTGAGGGGCTTCAGACATTCTGAGGGCTAGTGGATTCTGTAAATCACTCCCCGGGCAGGGATGAGGGTGAGGGGCTCCGGACATTCTGAGGGCCAGGGGACTTTTGACATTCTGATTGTTACTTAAGTGTTCACAAAAGTCAAGATTAGCATTTGTTTACACATTGTCTGGGTAGGGTGGAAATCACAGTCCTTAATTACTTAATCACATTTGGGTTATATAGAGCAGTTTCCACAGAAAGCCAGGTATGGTTGAGGTATGCAGTTTTATGGGGCTTTTACCATGTCACAGTTGCAATGAGCTGAGATTATGCCTTTGCGCTCCCCACTGGGCAACAAGACCAAAACTCTGTTTCAAAAAATATATATATGGTTAATATCCTTAGAGAGGCATGAGGAGATATTTCTTTCATGGAACTAGAACAGAATGCTATGAAAGAAAGAGGGAGGACAGGAAAGGGGGAGAGAAAAGAGAGAGAAACTGACTCCGACAACAAAGAATTCTTTATACGTTTTAAAATCATGATAGCAGATAAAGGTCTAGGAGATACACTTAGGGAAATCTCTCAAAAGTAGAATAAAAATAAAAAGAGAATGACAGACAGAAGAGAAAAATATAAGGATGTTAGAGGTCCAATCTAGAAAGTCCAAAATTCAAATACTAGGAATTACAGAAAGACAAACACCAACAAACAGAAGACAGAAAATTAAGAAGAATAATTCTGAAACATTTCCTGGAAGTAAACTAGTATGTTTCCAGATTGAGCAGCTCACAACGGCCAACAGGCACTGGGTAAAAATAGAGGCTCGCAAAAGCATCATGAAAGTATATAACCACAGGCAAGGAGAACATCTGACCAGTTCCAAGAGAGAATAGACCACACCTGAGCTGCAGCAGGGACCCCTCTTAGAGGCTGACAGCCCCCACAAGCATGGAAATAAAGGAACATCTTGAGTTTCTTCCCCCCCCCCGCCCCCCGAGACACAGTCTCACTCTGTCACCCAGGCTGGAGTGCAATGGTGCAATCCCAGCTCACTGCAAGTGATTCTCCTGCCTCAGCCTCCTGAGTAGCTGGGATTACAGGTGCACGCCACCACACCAGGCTAATTTTTGTATTTTTAATAGAGATTTCACCATGTTGGTCAGGCTGGTCTCAAACTCCTGACCTCGTGATCTTCCCACCTCGGCCTCCCAAAGTGCTAGGATTACAAGATGTGAGCCACTGCACCCAGCCTTGAGTTTCTTTAAGGGAAATTCCAGGTACCTACCTAGCCTTGAGAAGTAAATAGGCAACCTAGTAAATAAGAAGCTGACAAGAGCCTCACATAATAGCCAAGGAAGTCAGAGCCACAGAATGTTTGGCTCCCTACAGAAACTAAACATTACACCTTAACAATGTTCTTGAGTTGCTTTTCAGAAACCTGGACCATGCCACATGGAAAATATCATCTACTGGCATGCAGACCTCAGATAAGAGAGAATTGAGAACCGAAGTGTGACCACCGTTCTCTATTCTAAATTTCTTCCTAAGGGGCCTGGAGGAAGGCATACCCACAGGTCAGAGCTCAACATTCCTTTCTACTGAACCCAAGTTTTTAGACAAAGCTTAACCAATCACAAATCGGAAAATCTTTGAATCTACCTATGACTATGAGCTTCCTCACTTCAAAATGTCCCACCTTTTCAGGCCAAACCAATGTACACCTTCCATGAATTCATTTATGACTTTACACATAACCTCTGCCTCCCACCTTTAAAAACCCTTAAGTTTGGGTTTTTATACATAAGCCCTCAAGTTTGGGTCTTAAGCCCTAGCTGCCTAATTCTCGTTGGCACCCTGCAATAAATTCCCCGCTTTCACTGCAATCACAATGTCAGTGTTTAGCTTTGCTGTGCTGGGCGGGCAGACCAAGGTTCAGCTTGGTAACTGATGTAGTTTGGATGTGTGTCCCCTCCCAAATCTCATGTCGAATTGTAACTCCCAGTGTTGGAGGTGGGGTTGGTAGGTGGCGATTGGATCACGGGGGTGGATTTCTCATGAGGGGTCTAGTGCCGTCCTCTTGGTACTGTCCTTGCAACAGGGACTGAGCTCTTGCAAGATCTGGTATAATTTGGATTGAAAAGAGTCTCTGTTTTAATCACCTCCACTTTGCCAGATATCCAGAACTGTTGAGCTATTGGTAAACTGGATTATCCTTCTCTCCTGCATTTTTGTTTAAGAATTATCTTATCTGGCTGTTTGCTATGTGTGTGTATTTTTTTCTGTGTACTTGCCATGGTCTGAATGTTTCTGTCCCATGTAATTTATGTGTTGAAGTCCTAACCCCCAGGCAATGGTGGTGTTAGGAAGTGAGGCCTTTGGGAGGTGATTAGGTCAGGAGGGTGGAGTGGAGCCCTCATAAATCGGAGTAGTGTCTTCCTAAAAGAGGCTGTCACCCCTTCCAATACATGAGGACACAGTGAGCAGGTGCCATCTGTGAACCAGCTACCTGGCAGGCTGAGGCAGGAGAATCACTTGAACCCAGGAGGCAGAGGTTGCAGTGAGCCAAGATGGTGCCACTGCACTCTAGCCTGGGCGACAGAGTAAGGCGCCATCTCAAAAAAAAAAAAATGTGTCTTCAGGGAGCAATAATGTTTCAAAGGACACATCACCCTCCCACCCCTGGGTGATGAAGGCCCGTGTCCTACAAGGCCAGCCCAGCTGAGGTAGATAGACCCTGCCTCTCCCTCCAATCATCCCAAAGCAAGATTTTCCAGCCCACAAACACCAACAACAGCTCTTGGCAATTACAAGCATGTTTACCAGGAAGGCTGTTTCTCTACCTTTTAAAAGTCTGTGGTTGTGATTCTCACACAGACACAGACACACGCACACACACACATGCATGCATGAGCACACATTTTATGGGCACTCTACATGCAAGAGATGTCCACCCAGTTCCCAAGAATGTGTGATTGAAAATACCATAATTAAATAAATATGCCATCTCTGAGTTTTGGAAGAAAACTGCATTCCTATTTGACTTACTTGGGGCGTAAATAACAATCAGGTTAGCTTAAATGCATCCTTAGTCAACCTTCAGGGCCCCCAGGAGGCTGGGTCTCAGTGTTCAGGGGAGGGAAGTTAACTGACAGCACAGAGGATGGGGGAGATTGAAGGGACTAATTAATCCACAGCTTATATCTCAGTGGCACGAGTGCACCGAGTACCACACACTGGGCTTCTCTACTCTGCTATTTCTGGCCCTATTGGTGTCAGCTTTGCTCCAGATTCCCAGCTGAGGAACCCAGCAAGCCGACCAGATCTATAGGTGAGGACTTGGCTAGAGATTTCCACAGTTCCAGCTGATCAGATCAGAATGAGGCTGGAAAGAAACAGGGAAGAACTACCAGCAAGAGGCCACAAGGGAGGCTGGGACAGTAATCTGAACTACTGATGGCTTTCCCACCATTAACGAAGACTGTGAATGGGCTTTCTGTTTACGTCAATGGATTATTAACTTTCAGATAACACTGAGGTTTGATCTTGAAGATGAAAGCACACCCTTGAAAATTTCATTGCTTTCTAGGATATTGCAATGCTATTACAAATAAGTGTAAAGAAAACAAAGAGAAAAAGGATATTCCAAGATGACACATAATTAAAAACTACCACCTGTGACAAATAAAACGTATTTAAGCATGCTATTTGTCAAGAGGCTCCTTTTCTTCCTACTGGCACTTGGACTGGAATGAGAAAGAAGGAAATAGGCCTGTTTATTAAAGCACACCGCTTGCAAATTTTATTAAGATAGTTATGAAAGTATATCATTAAAATAAACAGATCACCAGAAAATGTTATCAATAAATATATTATGTGACCTGAAGAATTGCATAGATTTCCAACAGCTCAGTATGAATATATGAGGATTCTTTCTTAAGCACAGATGGATAAAGATATGCAAAGAGTAGCAAAAATACGATAATACAAACAAGCTGCATGAACAAAATAGGGAGTGCATTATTTCCTGAGCAATGGCTGCCGTCTACCACAGTTTAGTGCTTCTGCTCTGAAATACAATGGAATCACACCAGCAGAGGAAGGAACCCAACATGCTCCTCTTTGCCCAGCATCTGCGGTAGAGAAACAGGACCTGTCCTGGCCCTCTGAGGTCCCTCCCACTTCAAGCGGAGAAATTCTGGAAGACGTCGGCCGCCTCCAGCCAGTTCTGCAAGCAGGTCAGCCCGCGCTCCCGGATCTGCTTCCGCCCTTGGTTGGTGATGACCTCCCCATTTTGTTTCACAATCACAAGTTTGGGGATGGCCGTGACGTTGTACCTCTTCCTCAGCTCACTGCAGGAGAGAAGAGTGGTACCGAAGTTAGCACTTCCGCATGCACATCTGAAGGGACAGGCCCCCTCCCTCCGGCCTGAGGTATGCCAACTTGGAGGAAGCCACCAGGTGCCCCACTCCGCCTGCCCCTGCTCACCCTCCGGCTGGAGTGCGGGTTCCTTTCTTCTTGGTGCTACCATTTCTTTTCTTTTTATTTTTTTTTGTTTTGTTTTGTTTTTGAGACAGAGTTTTACTCCTGTCGCCCAGGCTGGAGTGCAATGGTGCCATCTCAGTTCACTGCAACCTCCGCCTCCCAGGTTCTCCTGTCTCAGCCTCTTAGTTGGCCAGACTGGTCTTGAACTACTGGTCTCAAGTGATCCACCTACCTCGACCTCCCAAAGTGCTGGGATTACATGCGTGAGCCACTACGCCCGGCCTTGTTTCTAACCCAGCTCTGCCCCAGAGAGCTGCCTACAGCAGTGAACTCTCCCTATTTGTGCTACCCAGTCCCACAGTCACCAGCCACCTGTGGCTGGGAGAGCTCAGAATGTGGTTAATGTGCCTGAGGAACTGAAGTTTTCATTTTAATTATCTTTTAATTTAAATGTAAGGAGTCACAAGTGGCTAGCGGCTACCAGATTGGATACAGTAGATCTAAACTCGCAAATAAACCCAATAATTTTTTATGTCCTCTACATCTCAAATGGTTAAAAAATATCAGGTACATATAATGGTAAAAGTTAAAATTCCAGCCAGGTGTGGGTGCTCACACCTGTAATCCCAGTGCTTCGAGAGACCGAGGTGGGAGGATTGCTTAAGCCCAGGAGTTCAAGACCATCCTGGGCAACACCATCTCTACAAAAGTTAAAAAATGAACTGGATGTGGTGGTGCGAACTATAGTCCCAGCTACCCTGAAGGCTGAGGTGGGAAGATCGCTGGAGCCCAGGAGGTCGAGGCTGCAGAGAGCCTCGTTAGCGCCACTACATTCCAGCCTGGGCAACAGACCCTATTTCTAAGAAAAAAAAAGTTAAAATTCCATGAGTTTTAAATACATCTAGAGCCTCATTTGACTTTCCACCCTACAAATTCAATGATGCGTCAATTGCCGTTATAATGATGAGAGGTTTCTTAGCCTCATTTTACATCACTGACATTTACAGCATCTGTAACCTGATGAGTGGTCTTTTTACAAAATAATTTGTATTTGTTTAGGGAAAGAAGGATCTGCCTCCTTGTGTCTGGTAGAGGACTTTTGGCCCCGTTCCCCAGCCATGTGGAAAGGGCCTAATTCCCGATAAGGAAGGCCCTTCCTCCCCCACAGGGAGGGTCCCTTATCTCACTCTATCCTGGCCCGACCCAAGACCAGCAACCTTCCCGCCCAGCGGCCCACTGAACCAATCACCATCCGCCCCACCAGCTCTCCTGTAACCTCCCGTCCCACAAGCTCCCGCCCGGCAGGCTTCCTGCCCAGCAACCAACCTAGCCAATTACTACCCACCAGGTCAGCTCTCCTACCGCCCCAGGCCCTCTGTCCCTATAAAGTCGACCGAACAAAGAAAGCGCGTGCGATTTCTCCCTTCCCGCTTGAGTCGCCCGGAGATCCCAATAAAGTCGGTACCGGTCACCACGCGTCCTGCCTCGAGTCTATTGAGCGCCTGCCTCCGTGGGTNGAAGGCCCTTCCTCCCCCACAGGGAGGGTCCCTTATCTCACTCTATCCTGGCCGGACCCAAGACCAGCAACCTTCCCACCCAGCGGCCCACTGAACCAGTCACCATCTGCCCCACCAGCTCTCCTGTAACCTCCTGTCCCACAAGCTCCCGCCCGGCAGGCTTCCTGCCCAGCAACCAACCTAGCCAATTACTACCCACCAGGTCAGCTCTCCTACCGCCCCAGGCCCTCTGTCCCTATAAAGTCGACCGAACAAAGAAAGCGCGTGCGATTTCTCCCTTCCCGCTTGAGTCGCCCGGAGATCCCAATAAAGTCGGTACCGGTCACCACGCGTCCTGCCTCGAGTCTATTGAGCGCCTGCCTCCGTGGGTTGGGGTCCCACAGCCGGGGTCGCACACCTTGGTTTTGCAATTCTTGTAACCTTCACTGGGATTACTCTCTCAAGACAGGGCAGCCAAATGAAATCCCCTTCTTCTTCACCACAACCAGGTCATGAGGGCCTCACAGTGGCAATAATCAGATTTCCTCAATCTGTCACCCTCAGGATTGTGAGGATCGTGAACCTGAGTGGAAGGAATAACCCATTTGAGACCCTACTGTTACCAAATCTCCCCTTTGATATGTCCATCAAGGTCTTCCTGCCACTTTCTGACATCCAGGTCAAAGACACATCATCACCCAAACAGGAGAAAATACAGGGTCCCCTACACTCAACAGGGAGAGAGTATGCTTTGTTTCCAAACATCTATAAAACAGCAACAAAATCAATCATGTTCTCAGTCAAGAAGAAAGTCTTAATGAATTTTAAGTACTCAATAATATACAGATCACTTAATCAGACCAAAGGTAATGGAATTGGAAGCCAATAAGAAATCATTTTTAAGAATGAGTTTTAAAACTATATGTTATATGAGAAACAGCAATGCAGATGACAAAATATTTAAAGAACAATATGGAATATACTACAAATCCCAAGCTGTAAACACAATTAAACACACTTAGGAAGCTGTAGCCTTAAACACGCTTATCCAAAACTTGTAGATAGATGACTTATGGATCTAATTCAAGAAGCTAGAAAAATAATCACAGCACAAACACGAAGAAAGTAGAAAGAAGGCAGAATAAGACTGAGAACAGAAATTAGCAAAATAGAAAATGAACCAGCAAAAACCAACATGGGGTAAGCAATAAAACCCAGTCTGGTTCTTAAGAAACACGAAAATGTGAAACAAATCTCTACCAAGCCTGGGCATAGTGGCTCAAGCCTGTAAAACCAGCACTTTGGGAGGTCAAGATGAGAGGATCACTTGAGCCAAGGAGTTCAAGACCTACCTGGGTGACATGACAAGACCCTGTCTCCACAAAAAATTTAAAAAATTAATTAGGTGTGGTTGCATGCACCTGCAGTCCCAGCTACTCGGGAGGCTGAGGCAAGAGGATCCACTTGAACCCAGGAGTTCAAGGTTGCAGGGAGCTGTGATCACACGACCGCACTCCAGCCTGGGCAACAGTGTAAGACCCTATCTCTAAAAAAAATAATCTATGGAGATTCAGCAAGGAAAAAGAGAGAAGGCACAAGAATGCCTAAAATCAGGCAAGTCTGGTCATTGTACAGATCCAGTGTGGACTGAACCTCCTTGAGGGGACACTGGTGGGAGGGCTGTGGCCTTTCTGGGAATATATGACTCCTGCCAGGGCAGCCCTGTTCTTCAAGGAACCAGGGCACACCGAGGCAGCTATGGACCTGCTCCCCATGGGGTCCAATGACTCACCTGAGGAGGGAAAGGAAAGATGGGAAAAATAAACATGTCAACGATTCTCTAAAACCCATCAGGCAGAGCGAAAAAAAAGACAAGGCAGAGACCTCTCTGCCAAAACTACATTCGCCGAACTGACAAAGTAAAACCTCAAACGCCAAGCAGATGCAAATTCGTGTCAAACTGCAGGTTTAGGGGACACCAACTCTATCACAAACAGCCGTGAGTGCCCAGAACAGGGGAGGCTCGTGTGGAACTCAGCTGGACAGAGCCTTCAAAGGTCTATGAACCACGGCAGTGGGCCTGAAAGATGTGGCAGACATGTCCCTCTCTCGAATCTTAAGAATCCTGCACAACACCTAAAATCTGACTGCCTAAGCAATGAGCTTCAGAGGCATAAAACAAAAATGTGTGGCCGGGCGCGGTGGCTCACACCTGTAACCCCGATACTTTGGGAGGCTGAGATGGGTGGATCACCTGAGGTCAGGAGATCGAGACCAGCCTGGCCAACATGGTGAAACCCTGTCTCTACTAAAAATACAAAAATTAGCTGGGCGTGATGGTGGGAGCCTGTAATCCCAGCTACTCAGGAGGCTGAGGCAGGAGAACCGCCTCAACGCAGGAAGGAGAGGTCGCAGTGAGTTGAGACGGCGCCATTGCTCTCCAGCCTGGGCAACAAGAGTGAAACTCATCTCCAAAAAAAAAAAATGAAGAAAAGAGAAACAACCAAGTAGCTCTATGCATAAAGACTGCAGCAAAATGGCCAGCAGCCTGATTTAAGCTCTTTATCCAGAAGTTTTGGCAAATGGGTTATTTCGGCATCTGTACTTTGGGCAGTGGGACAGAGCAGGGCAGCACGCGTCACTTTCATAAAGGGAAGCAGACCATCTGACTGGGGCCCGTGAGGACTCCTGGAGGGCCGCTGGTGGGCCGTGAAGGGGTTGGGATGCCAGCAACAGCAGCATCTCACCTACAGGTTCCTGCACCCTCAGCTCGGGCAGCACGTGCACTCCTAACAGATTCCCATCTGATGTGAGTCCATGAACCAGCCTTTTATCAGCACTGTCAGGAACAGTGTGAGAGAAACAATGTCCCAGAAACATCACCGGGGAACTCATCAGAAATGCAGTCTCCCTGCCCCTGACACTGGGGTGGTGCCTGAGATCCGGTGGTTCACGCTCGCTCAAGTTGGCTGACCCCGCAGCAGTCTCCCAGGGCTTTCTGCATTCCCTGCACCAACTGGGAGGAGGGAGGAGAGAGCAGGTGGAGGGGAGGCTGGGCAGGGTGCCCCTGACAGCACGGGGACTACAGGCCTGTGGTTTGCTGCTCAGCATCTGTGACCCTCCTTGGGAAATCATGTCTCCTCCAGTTCTGGCAGGAACTAGCTGTGTGTCGTGGGCAAGCTAGTTAACCCCCTGCACCTCGGATTCCTCATCTACACCAGGGGAATAACAGAACCCACCGCCTGTAGTTGTCAGGATTAAATAAACAGCTTAACGAAGAATGAGTCTTGGCACATAATAAGTACTTGATAAATACCAGATGTCCTTACTGGGTGGGAAAGACCCATCTACAATTCCACCTGGGCCAGCTGCTCAGTCAGCATATCTATCTGGTGGCCCCTGGCTACACCTACTAATACAGAAATGGAGAACTAGCAGAATCAGAATCCATGAGGCTTGGTGCAGCAGCTGGCTGTGTGCTGGGAAAGAGAAAGGTATGGGAATGTGCAGTCTGAGATATAGCAGCCATTCTGCCACCATGAGGAGACACAGGATTTGCCAGGCAGCCACTGCCGGCAGCCTGAGCAAGGGAATGACATGCAGAAGGCAAGCCACAAAGCTGAATCTTCAGCAGCCTGCAGCTTTCCCTTGAGACCATCTCCTGGCTGATGGGTGTTTCATTAAAGCCAGCCCATAAACTTCACTGTTTAAGCTCTTTGAGTTGTTGTCATCGTTGTTGTTTTAATCACTTGCAATATTAAATCAAGCTCTGACAGTCAGGGGGATGCAGGGCAGGCTGGGCTTTGAGGAATGAGGAGGCCAGGTGGTCATTTCACTGATATTCAAAGAGACACTCAGTACCTCAAATCTCCATGCTGGCAGCCTCTGCCTGGGGACAAATGTAACCTTGGAGCTGCACAGGAGAGGAAGAACCACACTTTTTCACTAATATCATCTCGATCCCCTCTGGGCCCTGAGCTGCTTCCGTAGGGAAGATAACTTGCTTTTGGAGGAGAGAACGTTATCATGGTGATAACTCAGGACTTCAAGCATTTGGGAAAAATCCAAGAGCACAGTTCCTCCTTGTCCTCAGCACGGTTGCAACCAACGTTAGTCCCTGCCTTCAGCTAACACAGCCACATCCTTGTTGCTGGCATAACCACGCTTCTGTGTTGCCATGGCAACTCCTGACTCCAGTCTCTGTCATCTCAGCCAGGAGCAGGCTGCAGCCAAGCAAATCTCTCTGCTGCACTGTCTTTTGCTCACTTGCTCCAACCACCCACCAAACATACTCCCCGAGGATGCCAGGCACTCAGCCATGTCTGGCTCCATCCTGTGGGCAATGGAAACTCAGGAAACCCTCGGAGAGCTGGTACAAGGCATGGCTAAACCAGATCGGTCTTTGAACCAAGAGTCAATTAGAGGGGAACACCGAGGCCCTGCAGAACACTTAGGGGAATATTCTAAAGCTCCAGCACCTGAGTGAAGGAAACAGCAATGATCAGAAAGGGAAGGACCTGGGAGCTGCAAAATCAGTGGATTCAGTGGTTATGTTGAGCCCTGAGGACCCAGGAAGCAGTGGGAACACAGAGCTGGAGAGAGTCAAGGGCTGGAAAGGTAAAGTCAGGAATTATTGGCACAAGCACTGATCTTCTCCCACTGAGCCATTCCCTACGCAAGAAATGAAGCCCTAGCCAGATTTCCTTTTCCATCAGATCTAAACTTGTCGGGCCTGGAAGTTGAGGGACTGCAACACCAGCCATGGCCAGAAGGCAGTGTTAAGAGCTGAGCAGGCAGGAGGAGGGGACAACCTCCTCCAGTGCTTTTTGGGGTCTGCCAAAGTTCTGGAGGCCAAGTAGGGATGAGAGCTATTAATAAAATCATATAAGATCACCACTGATCATGTCTTTTGTGAAGAGCAGCATGTCATGGGAATTCCTGCTGGAGAATCAAGAACTTGTTACTTCATTCCTGGACAGATAATGAGTTTTACTCATAAACCCACTAATGCAGGGAAGGAAGACAGGGCAGGATGGAACCTCACCCTGAAAACACACCTCCAGAGCGTGCTGGTGTGTGTCACCAAAGCTGTCCCCACATTAAGGCTTGGCACCTCCTCTCAGCCCAGCTGCACTGGGCACTTAGGGAACTGCCAGCCGCGGCCACACACCCAATTCTTTAGTTTCAGGGGCGTTAGTAAATAGCTGCCTCTCTGGGGGCTGAGGGCAGTCCGCACTGCTGTGTTGAGCGTATGGTGCAGGGTACACTGGAAAGCTCAGCTCTGCACAGCTTGGAGGACAAGGGAGGGCCCCAGGCCTCCTCTCCCTGCAGGTACATCTGCAGCTGTCCTCTGCCTCCAGCCATGCCAACAGTAACCCCCAAGGGTGCCACTCTGTGATCTCTTTGGAAGCAGCTGTTTTTCTTCTCCCTTGACTCAGCTGATTTACCAGAAATTTAGTGGAGGGAGGGTGATGAGCTCGGGCCTCTGAGGACTGAAAGCACGAGGCCCCATTACCCCGCACCTGCCAAGTGGAGCTCCCATAATGCCACTATCCTGGGCTCCACCTCTCCACAGCACCAACCAGAAAGTATTGTGTTCTGCGCACATTAGCAACTTCCCAAGTGCCCACGAAGGCTTTGTACATTTTTTGGTTCTTCCTGGCTGTGGTTATTTCCTTTTTGCTCATGATCTGATTTCACAAATCCAGGATAGGATAAGCAGAATTTAGGATGTAGCTCCGACAATTCCCACAGAACATCCCACTTCCTAGCTTACACGTGACAACCACGGGGTGAAGGAAGTTCCGTGTGGAAAGGGGTAGAGACAAACAGCTAAGTTTACAAAAAGAAAATTCTCTCCCAGGCCAGCCAGGCTGAGAAGATAGGAGTGCACTGCTGACCCACGTCAGGCAGCTCACTGCCTCAAACTGGAGCTCACAGGCATGGCCGGAGCATCAGAAACAGAAGAGAGGTCTGCAGGGCCCCAAGCAATGACCTCCTCAGGCCAGTCTGTGTGCTCCTGGGGGCCAAGGCTCACCGCCCCCTCAGAGACCAAGTAGGGCAAGGCAGAAAGAGGGTGTCCAGAGCCAGGAGAACTCAACTCTATGCCTCAATGGCACATCTGTAAAACGGAGCAATAGATTAGAGAGCTGGGACATAACCAGGGGACGTATGAGCTCTTTTCTGATCAGCTCAGCCCTGACAACAACCACGTGATGTATCATATGCTGAGCAATAAAATACCTTGCCTACCATCACCTAGCAAGTAAATCCCAGAGCTGGGCCAGAGCTCTGTGCCCAATTATTATAATAACGCTGCCATCGCCTCTCGATTTCAACCCTGTGTTCTTTCAAAAGCTTACAAATAACTTGAGTATTAAGCAAGTCCAATCTTATTTTTAAAAGCACCACTGGAAGTGATTCTATAAGAAATCCTTTTGCAAAGTGAACCACCTGTCTTTAAGATTCATTATCAATGGGACTTTCAGAGTCCCAGTGTGAGTGAAGCTCCCAGAAGCAGGTCACTAACCCCTCCCCCACCAAGGCTGGGTGGCACCCTGCCTGGGCCTCCTCTTTCACTGCAAATCACCAAAAGTCGTGCTTGGGAGAACAATCAGATTTCTTCCAGTTAATTACTCAACTACAGAACTTTCCAAAGTTGGCTTCCAGTTTTCATTTTCCAGAAGGAATGTCATCTCATGATAATTAGCTTAGGGGGTAATCCCACAACTTAATGATAATCCCATGAAATGTGAGGCTGGCCTCTGTAAAGCAAAATGCAGAAATTCACACTGGTACTTAGAAGCAGGTGGCCGGCACAACACACTTGAGGAGGCCTGCTTTAAACCTAAGTCTGGACTCTTACCACATAGGAGACCACAGGAGGTCATCCCCAAAAACAGAACAATCAATCCCGGTCGGCTCCTTCTCTGCCAATCCCTACCCGCTCCTTTCCAAAAGTTAGAGTAATAAAGTTTATAGTAATGGGTTTTACGTCTCTCTAGTGATGAAATTCCATCAGTGTCAGTAAAAATGAAACCACAAAGGTGGCCAGCACCTGGGTTCCTGTCAGCCCTGGACCCCGTCCCTCCCCAAGCACACCAGCGGCAGCCTGCTCTGTGGGTGCCTGTCACAGAGCTGATGTCCTCGCCGGTCACCCTTTATCCCCGCATCCAGACACCGGATCGTGTCCCTGTGCTTCCTGCCCACTAACTGGGAGGACCATACAGCGGTGCTGGGATTCCAGGGCTGACTGGGCAGGTGGTTCCCGGAGCCAAGCGCGGGAACCCACAGCATCAACATCACTGGGAGCTCCTTAGCAATGCAGATTCCCCGAGCTCCAGACCCGAGGCAGAAACGGCCCGCGCCCATGCTCCACGAGCCTCCTGGGGGTGCTGATGCCCTGGGTTTTCTAATTTGGTCTCGACCCTCCCTGATCTCTAAGAGAGGCTTAGAGAAACTAAGACTGTGTGATTTACCAGAGTCGGGATGTGAACCTAGAGACTGGGAGGTGGGAGGAATAAGCGGGAGGTGGGGCATCATAAAGAGCTCCCAAGTGTATAGAGGGAGGCCTGGCGGGACACGGGGGCGACGCGCCGGGTGGCCCCCGCCCTCAAGGGCCCACTCACTGTCGGTAGGGGTCGTGGAAGGGCAGCGCCAGCCAGGCGCCATGCAACTCGCGCATGAAGTCCAGCATCTCCCGGGCGCTGCCGTCGGCAGACACGAAGACCACTTCGAAGGGTGCGGGCCGCCGCGCCTCGGCCACCAGCGCCGTGTAGAAGTCGCAGAGCAGCGGCGTGAAGTCGCGGCTGGGCGCGCACCGAGCCGCCGCGAAGTACAGCGCCACCACCTTGTTCTGCAGCGCCACCTCGGCCTCCACCGCCGCGCCCTTACAGGTCACCAGGTGCCGCCCGCCCAGAACGTCAACCATGGCGCGGGCGCGCGGCCACCAGCGGCCAGAGGACACCTACAGGAGAAATGATCACCAGCGGGCGGTGGCAAGCGCCGCGGTGCCTGGTCTCTGTCCGCACCGTCGGACCTCTCAAGACCTGCCCCAGCTGCGCCCAGACCTCGGCCCCGGCCTCGCCTCTGGCTGGAGCAGGGGTGTCCGCGCTGACAGTGGGACACTCAGACACCCGAGACCCCAGCTGTCTGGGCGACAGCGCAGCACCTGCCTCTAGGAGCTGAGCCGGCCGGGCAACCTGAAGCCCTCAGGTCTCTGCACCCTCCCCCAACTGCACCCCGCCTACACACCCCCCCCACTCTACCCCACGGTCCCCGCCCACATCCCCCGCACTCTCCCCTCACTGCTCCCCCCTACACTCCTGCACTTTCTTCACTGCTCCCCGCCCTCAACCCCACTCTCTCTACCCGCTGAGCCCTACCCGCATCCCCTCACTCTACCCCACGGCTCCCCGCTCGCATCCCCGAACTCTCCCCCTCCATGCGCCTAGCCCACGGTCCCGCGGCCTCCCTCACTGCACCCCGCCCACACTCCTGCAGTCTCCCTTCACTGGCCCACGCTCGCATCCCCGCACTCCCCACCCATTGCCCCCGCCCACATTCCCGCACTCTCCCTTCACTGACCCCCTCCCCCCACATTTCCTCACTCTCCACCTGCTGTGCCCGGCCCACATCCCCCGCACACTCCTACTACGCCCCGCCCACATCCGTGACCCCGCCCACATCCCCACTCCTCCCTTCCCACATCCCCACTGCTCCCCGCCCACATCCCCGCAGCCCCAGTCACACTGCCGCGTCCTCCCGGCCCCGGGCTCTACCCTCGCGGCTCTCTCTGCGGCGCCCCTCCACTTTCTCCCGACGCAGTGCCCTCCGTCCTGCCCCACCTACTGCCTTCTGTGGGTCCCCAACACCGTGCTCTTCCCCCTCCTTCACTTCCTCCCACTCCTCGCGCGCCCCTTCAGCGTCCCACGCTGCTCCTCCCCGAAAACCGCGCGTCGCTGTCCTTCCCTCCTGGGCTCTCTTCCAGTCTCACGCTCCCTGCCGGGCCCTCCGTAGGTGTCCCGCAGCCATCTCCCCAGGACATGTGAACCCTGCTTTGGAGCTCTAGCGGAGGCCCAGCACCCTGGAAGGGGCCTCGGGGAGCATGGGGCGACAAGGAAGGGGAAAGACAGTTGGGCTTACAGTGGACAAGGGCGGGGCGGTAGAGAACCTGGGCTCAGTTGGTTCGGGGTGTTTGCCCCTGACATCCTGTGTCCTGGCTGGGAGGGTTCCTGGAGTTCAGGAAGAAATTGGGGGCGGCGCTTACGGAATGTTTTATTTTTTTTATTATTTATTTATTTATTTATTTGAGACGGAGTTTCGCTCTTGTTACCCAGGCTGGAGTGCAATGGCGCGATCTTGGCTCACCGCAACCTCCGCCTCCTGGGTTCAGGCAATTCTCCTGCCTCAGCCTCCTGAGTAGCTGGGATTACAGGCACGCGCCACCATGCCCAGCTAATTTTTTGTATTTTTAGTAGAGACGGGGTTTCACCGTGTTGACCAGGATGGTCTTGATCTCTTGACCTCGTGATCCACCCGCCTCGGCCTCCCAAAGTGCTGGGATTACAGGCTTGAGCCACCGCGCCCGGCCAGAATGTTTTATTTGGAGAACCAAGAGTATTAATTTTGTGACGAGCACTGTTGTGGGCTCCGGGAATTCGGCAGTGAGAAAATCAACTCCTGCCAGACCCGGGCTAGAGGCGAGAGAACGAGGCACTCGCTTGGGGTCAAAATTTAAATAATGTTTTAATACAATGTCTTAAAAATTTTAAATGAACGCAAAAAAAGTTTATAATGAACAAAACATCAAAAGCTTAAAGACAGTGAAGGAAACCAGAGTATGCCATCCTAAAATGTGCTGCTTTGGTATATTGATTATTTTGAGCCAGAGGCACTTGAAAAACAGCAAATGCAGAGAGACTTTCTCCTCTAACCTGTCTAAGGACAGAGCATCCAAAAGAAATCGGCTTGTCCTAAATTCCCTCCCTGGAGTTTTGTCACACAGGGAAAATGGACTCTTATCACAGCAGAAGTCCACACCACACCTAGACAAACTTTGTCAGAAATTCGTAAAGACCTATTCATCTTTCCTAAAAATCAGTTCCTCTCCCCTAAGTGGCCTACACCCACTTCCAGTTCTCCTGTTTTATAAGCTCTCGAAGCTCACTGGTTTGGGGGTTTTCACCTTTTTTCCTGCAATGACCCCATGCAGTTAATATTAAAGATTAATAAATGTGCATTCCCATTCCTCTGTTCATCTGCCCGTTGGCGGTTAATTTCATAACCCAGCTATGGAACCGGGGAGGATACAGAGGTCTTTCCTAAGACAGGTTGGATCCCACACAGACTTTGGACTCCTGTCGCGATCACCGAATCCCCTAAATCCTGCACCTGCGCCTGCCTGGAGCCTACATTCTAACGGACACAACAAAAAAATAAGGAAGATATTTTGCAGGTGCTATGCCAAGAGAAGAGTCATGAGCAGGGGCGCAGGTTTTTCTTGTCTTGTTTTGTTTGAGAGGAGTCTCACTCTTGTTGCCCAGGCTGGTGTGCAATGGCCCGAACTCGGCTCACTGCAACCTTCGCCTCCCGGGCTCAAGTGATTCTCCTGCCTTGGCCTCCTGAGTAGCTGGAATTACAGGCGCCCGCCACCACGCCCACCTAATTTTTGTATTTTTAGTAGAGACAGAGTTTCACCATGTTGGCCAGGTTGGTCTCGAACTCCTGACTTAAGGTAACCCACCCACCTCGGCCTCCCAAGTGCTGGGTTTACAGGTGTGAGCCACCGAGTCACTCAGGGGTTTTTTTTGTTTGGTTGGTTGGCTGTTGTTGTTTTGTTTTTGTTTTTAAGACGGAATCTCGCTTTGTCACTCAGGCTGGAGTGCAGTGGCACAATCTCGGCTCACTGCAACCTCCGCCTCCCGGGTTCAAGCGATTCTCCTGCCTCAGCCTCCAGAGTAGCTGGAACTACAGGGGCGTGCCATCACCCAAGGGGGGCAGTTTTAATTAGCGGTGAGAGGAGTCGGGGAAGGTGAGATTTGCGCTTCCTAAGGAGCCGCCTGCCGGCGGAGCCTCCCCCTGTCTCGCAGTTAAATGAAGGGAAATTGGCCGATGTGCTTTGCCTGCCGACACAGCCTGTCTGCTCCGGTGCATAAAAGTACTTAGCAGCCAAGGCTTAGTGGAAACCCTGCGGGAGGATTGATTGTCGCTGTTAGGTGAAGCAGGCTGTCAGAGCCCCGCTTCACTGTCCTCTGGGAAAACTGGGGAAAATGGATAGACAAATCGGAGGAAAAAATTGAGAGGAGCTGTGAGCAGCATAAATCTTGCATGAGGAGGCCCCTGACTTATGTTAAAACTCAGAGATAAGAGGAATGAAATGCAGCTAAGCTCTAGAAATCATCCAGACTATTTTGTCGTTTTATCCTTGAACACACAATGAGCCAAAGTAGACAGCATTCCTAATTAGTTGATGGTGCCACCCTCCTGAGAAAATCAACAGTCATTCATGTAAATACTGCCGGCCCTCCTGGGGAACTCACCCAATCTCCATCCAGGAATGGATGGTACTTCCTGCTGCCAATGTCGAGGGTAGGGTGGCTTCCCAGGCATGCGGCCCCTCAGAGGCATGGGGCCCTGCAGTCACTTGGGGCTCAGTGTTCCGTGGCTGCAGTCTTTGTTGTTTTGTTTAGAAACTGAATCTCACTGTGTTACCCAGGCTGCAGTGCAGCCTCGAATTCCAGGCCTCCAGGGATGCTCCTGCCTCAGCCCCCTGAGTACCTAGGGCTGCAGGCATGTGCCACTATGCATGGCTAATTTTATTTTATTTTATTTTATTTTATTTTATTTTATTTTATTTTATTTTATTTTTTGTAGAGATGGGATCTCCCTATGTTGCCCAGCCTGGTGAATTTTTCTTTCTTTTTTTTTTCTTTTTGAGATGGAGTCTTGCTCT